CGTAATTATTCTATAGAGTTTTTTTTGTTAAAATAAGAGTCTGTTAATTAAAATAACGAAGTTTGTTGATTAAAATAACATTACTTGTTTGTTTAAACAGTCGTCTATTTTTAAATAACGGTATCTTTCTGCGAAATAAAAGATTTTATACTAGTACACTTACTAACAGTCTCTTTTGTAAATGTTGCAGTTTTTTAACAGTTAATTAGACCTAATTAAGAGTACTTAGTGCAGTTCTTTTTGGGGGGGGGGGGGNTTTTTTTGGGGGGGGGGGATGAATAAAGTTTAGAAAAATCTGTTTCTGTCAAAAATTTATATAATTTATAGCTCATAATATATGAAAAACAGATGGACAAAAAATAAAAGAAATTTTTAGGGAAAATATTATGACCCTTTCCCGGGAGATAATTAAGAATTATAATAAAGAAGAAACACAATAACAACAGCAGCGGTAGCGAAAACAGCAATAACAACTGCAATTGCGACATTTAAACCTGCTGTACGGGGGACAGATAAGCAACCGCATCACATGTTACAGATGGAAATATATTTCTCGAGGCTTGAAAAACTGGATATAGTATTCAGCTTTTAACATTAAAAAAATATTTATATAAATATATATATATATATAAATATATATATATAAATACCCACACATAAACTATGCTTTGTAAAACAATTGAATGTTCCTTTCATATATACAAGATAAATACTTAAGACCATATCCACCTTTATAGCTCAGAAATAAGTTCAGTTGATATGGTATGAGTTCAGTTGATGGTTTAGTTTAGTAAATTGACACATTTTGACGTCTTTTCTTAACAAGAATCTCTACTATGTTTCTGTTTTCCAAATAGATAAGGCTTTACAACTATTGTAATTCATTTTTTTCTACTATCTCAATCAGTTTTTAAGAAAAAAAGACTGACTCTCTAATTTTCCACCAGTTACTTTGTAAGTGGTATACACATGTAGTAGATAGCCACTTCACTATAACTTGACACTCCTTTAATAATATTATAACTGCTGCCATTTTAAAATTACGATGGTTGAAACGAACTATAGTGAGTACATTGTTAATAAACTATAATTGATTTTGAATTCTCTCAAAGGTTTAGACCAATTTATGTATATATTAATTTAAAAATATTCACTGTGTTGCTGTAAAATGCTATTCTAAAAATTACTAATTTTACAAAAAGCTTGTCCAAAACTCTACCTTTTTTTTAAAAAACATTATATATAAATTACTAATTAACTTCCTTTTAATATCAATAATTAACTTTAAATTCTTTTTCAATAAGTTCCACATTTTTCTTTTGAAAATTAAAATTTTAGATTAATTAAATTAATTATCAGCGAGAAATATGTATAATTAATGCGCTGCTTGATATGAAATTAAATATATTTTTTTTGCTTTATCTTTATTTCTGTTTACACAAGTAATGAAAATATAGTATTCATGAATTTATGAAAAATGATGCATATTTGTTACAATGAAACTTGTTTCAAATTTATCAGCATTTATTAACGTTTTAATGAATACAGTTAATCCGTTATTCAAATTTCTAAACAGTGTTTGGAAAGAAAAAATATAAACTTAGAATGGTTACGACTGTTTTCATGAGGGAAAAGACTGCGCTTATTAGAATTATCTAAATAAAATAAATTTTAACCGTGCTACTTTGTATAATTGAAGCTCAGTGAATATTCTAACAAGAATATTGCATATTATATATTAAGAATAATTTTAACCGAAGTATGTTTGTTTGATTTAAGGATCCGAATAATGCTTAATGAAGCGAACAATTAAAAACAGAACTTTAATTTATTAATTTAATCTCACATTTATTGTCTTAATTTTAAATAATTGTTTTGTTTTCTTAATTTAGGAAATTGAAAATTCACCCAACCGAAGAGAAACCTATTTTTAAATTAAAAGTAAAAATTTATACGACATTGGAGAAAAAAACATAAGAAAATGAATATAATAAAATTACAAGATATTTATTAGAATCTAGTAAAAATAAGTGTTGTAAATCTAGCAAACAAACTAAAGTTTCAAAATCTTAAATTCAAACAACATCAAAGATTTATAATAATTACTTTCTTAATTTTTGAAGATTTCTTTTACTTTTAGTTTCTAATTTTTTCGATTTATTTTGTTATGAAAGATACGGGGATTACTAAAATTTTAAAATAGCAAAAGGAAGCATTTTTAGAAATTATTACGAAATATATTTTTTTTGTATAAATTAGTATTAATCTTTGAACAAATGTTTGACTTTTAAAAATTAATTGCAGAGATATAAAAAATGCAAACGCGATATTTAAGTAGAAAAAGGTAACTAAATTAAATAAAATCTTTTAAGATACTATTTTTTTTGATAATCCGCTGGGGCATTTGCCACATTTCTTGCTGGCGCAACCGCTGACACATCAAATAAACTGAACACGCTTTAAAATTGAGATTTAAGGAACACAACATGTATATCTGTTATCCAGATTTATAAAAATCAACAATCGCTGCACATTGTTGGAACCTTGGGCATAAATTCAATTTCTACAATGCCAAAATCATTTTCACCCCATTTACATAAGTTCATCTTGATACTTTGGAATCTTGTTTTATTCATATGAATGGCAATTCCTTTTTTGATGAGATTAGTTCTTTCCTCTCTTCATAACGCTTGGAAATGCACTTTACTCTGGTCCGTCCCTCTTGGCTTCGGTGTTTTTTTTTAGCCTTGTTTCTATTCTTTCGTTCGATTCGTCTTTGTTTCGATTCGTTTATTTCTGTTTGTTTTCCAATATTTGTTGGCAACTTTACGTTTTATATTTCAAATCACTTTTGTTTCTTCTCATTCACGTCTGACAAGTCTTGAAATGGTCATCTGTTTTTGAGCGTTTGAAACATGTAGATCTTTATTTCCATTTTGTATATTTTTGAATTGAATGACATTTTTAATCAAGTCATCAGGTAGCTTAATTATTTAAAGGAAGCAGACAATTTTATAAATTTGATTTAAGTTTATTATTTATTTAATAAGTTTTTCACCATTATATATGATAAGAAAGAAAAGATTTCATAACGACAGGGATAATAACACTTTTCGTGCAGTTTTTTTGCGTAATTTTTTTTAAAGAAATACTATTGTTGCAATCAAGGTTAATTTCTTATGAAAAAGTAATTGACGTCAAAAATTGAAATAGGATTTTACGAGTATTTTTAAATCCTCATTTTCTTTACTGTTTCTTTAGAAAATCCTCATTTTCTTCCTTGTTAGAAATTTCTCGAAAAAAATGGTTAAATAACGGTTTGCTTATTGTTATTTTACTATATTAAAACAAAACAGTCAAATAACCATAAATAAGTTGGTATTCAAACTGTTAACTGGGTGAAAAATCGTTAATTAGCTGCCTTTACCCAATACAGTTAAAGAACCAGAATTTTACCTTAGAAGGCGCTTAGTTTTTTTCAGCTGGGTACAAATTAAAGACAATGCGGCTAATCTGTCAACCTCATGCAGATAGATTGGGGGTTCGAATCCCAGACAACATAGTGTTTCCTCAAGATATATCCCAACCTAACTCTAATACTCATTACTAAGGAAAATGCTAGTTGAATTTCTTTTTTTTAACGGTTTTGAAACCCTGCTAGTTGTAAAAGATTAAAAAATTGTATAATTTTGTATTCATGGTTTATTAAAAATACTAGTTGTAAACAGTTTCAAAATTAGAATGGTAAAAAATGTTTTTTACCGTAAACTTTACGGCTAATTGGATGGGCAGAATGCTGTCGACTATTTTACTATAATTTCAGAATGCAAATTTTAACAGCGTTTAATATAAATGCAAAATTTCTCTGCGAAAACTAATAATGTAGTTTTATTTGCCGGGGAAAATTTTTTCACTGCATGTTATTTATTATAAATAAAAAAAAATATTTTGTTGCTATGAATTAGAATATAGATTTTAGAATTTGCTGTAATTTATTGATCATTTCCTAAGCAATTTTAAGTTTAAATTTATTTTAGGAGTTATAGTTTTATTGAGTTATGTAAAATCATATTGAAGAAATTTTATTTCTGTTTTTGTGCCTTAAAAACCAATTTTTATGAATCATATTTTGATTAGATCAATATATGCGAATGAGTACCTACTATAACTTATGTTGGTACATAAAACTTTTTTCGTCTTAGTTTTATATGAATTAACAAAAGTGTTTTTTGAAAAATCATTTTTTTAATTAATTAGGAAAAATACATGGTTAAAAAGTTAAGGACTCAAATATATTTTTATTATATTTGCATTCGGAATTTTATACAGATTACATGGAGAAAAAAATTCTGGTAAATTTACCGTAATGTATAGTAGTGATATTTTTGATAAAAAAAAACTGTAATTCTGTCACTAAAAACCAAATAATACAGTGCTTAAATCATTCATTTTGTTATTTTCCGTTTATGTGGTAACGGCTTACGGGAAATTCTAGCTTTCAAAATAGTTCTTATAATCACACATTTAGTAAGAAATACAAAACTGAATAGCTTATTTAATCTAATAAATAGTTTTTACCCCATGCTCTATGGCCTCAGGATAAAATTAACAATTTCTACCATATTTACCAAATTTTATCACCTATTATTAAACCATATTTCATTGTTCATTTTACCAAAATTTTATCAAAGTATTTCGGAAAAAATTACCTAACTTTTTGGTGTTTTCAAAGAGCTAGAAATAGGATAAATTTTACCATATTTTGATAGTTTTGACAATATTTTTTTCTTAATGTAGAGCTTTCCACTAGGAAAATGTATTTTACCATTATATAAAAGTGTCTAACTAAAAAACTCTTTTTCATTTTTTATATAATTCTACATAAAGGTTTTTAAAAATTAATTTTCAAATATCTCAAAAAATTTTAATTAATAAAGAATGAATGGATTAATCGAATTAATAAAGAATGAATTAATAAAGAATGAGCGTCCGATACTCACCTTAGAAGTTTAGTCATTCTGTCAGTTATCGGCGCTTTAAGGTTAGATAACAATGTATGAGCTCCATATTGACTTTGTTGGGCTTCGGGGTCTTGAGGTCTCCTGAAATAATAAATTTTTCCCTGATTACTACAATATAAAAAATATCAGTTTACAGTTGCCACCATTTTGGATGTTGGGGTAAGCTGAATGTATTTTTAAGTTCAGATATGTAGTTATCATGAAAACGATTATACAAAATAGAAAAAATAACAATTATTTAGAGGAAATATAGATAACAAATATAAATAAGAAATAAGAAATATAAATAATAAATAATTTTTTTTGTTTTATGCCTGTTTAGGCAGCGGGGGAGCGATTGTTTCTGTTTTTCAGTGGCGCCATCTATGGCCAGGAATTCGACTTCTGCCACGCCATTCACACAACCACAACCCGTTTATAGGGCGGGTCACATTCACACACAAAGAAAGGACATAGAACACAGAGAGAGAGAAAGAAACAGCCATGCCTTGCCCGGGATTCGAGTCCAGGACCTTTCTGATGCAAGGACAGTTCCCTGCCCCCTACGCAGGCCGGTCGGCAATAATAAATATAAATAATAAATGCAAATAATAATGAAAAAAAAAGATAAATAGATTTATAATAGTGAAAAAATAAAGGAAAATGTGACTACATGCATTGTCAACATTGGATACTCCGACCCTCCTACTACCATAGGATATATGGAGAAAGATATTGATCCGAAAAATGTACACTACAGACACCTGGATGGCAACCGTAACATATAAACACTGATGTGAAGAACATACAGCAAAATAAAATTTAAAAATGACGAAGTGGTAGTAAAACAACAAAGTTGAATCAAGTAAAAAGTTTACAACAGAGTTTACCGCAACACCGAAAATAATGGCAAATAACACAAAAAAATTACTCAGTTAAAAATATTGTGTACATAGTAAAAATTTTCAGTATATAGTTGTCACAATTTTTAGTGCTATGAGTTGTCTTGTGTTAGAGTGCATTTAATAATCAAAATACAGTTTTAAGTACAGAACTATAATAATCGAGAAAAAATTACATAAAATTGACAAAAGAATTGTTTCAAACAATTAGTGAGAATATATTACTAAAAATGTGCTTCTTTTTAAACAAAGTGTTTGTACAATGAAGCCTCAGAATTGATTCTAGTGTGAAATTTTGTGTTGTCAGTAAACAAACAAACTAAACAGTGAAAAGTAATTAAAAAATGCGACCACATGGACTGGAAAAATTTCAGTTTACCTCAACACGAGTTTCAGTTTACTTCAAAGATGGGGAAACTATATATCAAAAATTTTAGCAGTGCAGAAAATCATAATAAACGAAACATTTTTTTTTAATAGTTAGATTTTTCAGACTGTAAAAAGTGACGTGCTTTTGCATATTTGTGTATAGGATTTATAAAAACTTTATTTCATTAAAAGAATAATACAATTATATTGAATTTAGAAATATTCAAAATATAAAAAAAAATTCATAACAACTTTATATTAAAGCCATAAAAGTAATCTACTATTTCAAGTTAGATACATTGATTAAATATAGACGTGTTTATAAAACTGAGGAATCTACGTAAAATCTTTGTAGAAAAAGCATTTAAAGGACAAAAATCTTGTACAAACAAAACTCTGCATCAACAAAAAACAGTACTGGTATTGATAATCCAGCTAAAAAATATTTCATTTAGAAAATAGTGAAATTGCTTTGGGTCTTTTATCTCAAGTGTACTGTATACGTGAGATTTGCTGGTTGGAAAGTTTGTCTCACAATATTTTGTTAGCGGTAGTTTTGTCTCGCGAGATTCTGAGTCAGATAAAGTTTTTCAACATTTTCGCCAAGTAAAATTTGTGTCACGAGATTTCATTCGCGGGTGATATTATCTCTTGTGAAATTAGTGAGAAATTTTGAATCTCAAAATTCTGTTCGAGAGAGTTTTTGCATTTCAAGACCTTGAGTTATCTGATTCTATGCTTAAGATTTTGTTTTTCATGATACTGTCTACTTGAGATTTTATCTCGCGAGATTCTGAGGGAGATAATGTTTCGAGATTTTATTCGTGGGAGATATTATAACTCGAGATTCCGTTCATGTGAGATTTTGAATTTCAAAATTCTTTTTAAGAGAGTTTTTGCTTTTCGAGATTTTGACTTATGCGTAAAATTTTGTTTTTCGTGATACTGTCTGCCTTTGAGAGTTTGTATCACGAAATTCTTGCCAAATATAATATTAAAAGAAAAAAAAATTATGGGCTGCGTTGTGTAATACCAACTAATGTAAAACATGATTGACAAGCTTTGCTGTTTTTGCAGTTTTCTGTTGTTTTGATTGTTGAATATTTTGAAAGCTGAAGTTTTTTTTTGTGGGTTTACATATAATTTTAATGAATAACTTTGTAAGCGAGTTTTCAGTTTTGTGGATGCTCTACTGCGAGTTTTGGCCCAAAAATAAAGATCTTCGTTGTTAAAGTTTGATAAAGACAAAAAAAAAGTGGAATTTGCAAGAATTTTCTGGGAAACTTTGATTTTTCTAAATGTAAATAATCTATCTTTACCAATTAGTAAAGAAATCATAAGAAGCAAGATGATGAAGCGGTGAGATATTACGTGATTAAGGACTTCATTCGTTTCAAAAATATATAAATTGGAAATAACAGTTGACATGTTTCAAGCCCTCGAATAAAGCCTCCAATTTTTAGACTTGCTAGAAGTGAATAAGAAAAAAAAATATTTCGAAATATAAAACGTAAAGTTGCCCACGAAAAGTGGAAAAAAAAGTGAGAAACAAAACTAGAAAAACCACTGCAGTAAAGAGAAAAAAAGAAGATGAAAAACGGAACAAGAAAAACCACAATGGCCGAGAGTGGTAAATCAGGGTAAAAGCTTTCTCACATGCTATGGAGAGGTGGGGAGAAACTAATGTCGTTAATAAAGGAGTCAGCATTCATATGAACGTAACAAGATTCCAGAAAATCAAGATGAGCTGATGTGACTGGGATGGAAATAGTTTTGTCATTGTTGAAATTGAATTTATTCTCAAGATTCCAACAATATGCAGCAATTGACTATTCCTCGTATTCGTGATAACGGACATATCCATCACATCTATCGTGTTCGTTAAGAGTTTTAAAATTTAGATTTAAGGAAATGTCAGTCTTGAAAATATGCATCTGACAAGTCTTGTTTGCGACTGTATTGCGCTTTTGTTCTCGCGTGATTTTGAGCACTTAAAACATATCAACCGTTATTTCCCATTTGTAGATTTTTAAAGCGAATGAACTTTTTAACCTCTTCCTTCTCGCTCCCGTGAAAATGACAGGGTGAGGTTTCGCCCTCTATTTCTCGCTCCCGTGGTATTGACGGGCTGGAGTGTTCAGTAGTAACGCGCCAATAAGAATAAAACTAATTCATTTCTTTTGCCCGGAAAAAAATTTATATCTCATTTTACACACCAGATGGCAGTACCAAGATATTTTTAAGGTAATTGTAGATAGTTAGTTTATTTTTAACTAGGTGTCAGCAATAATCAAATACGTAATACAAATACAAAAGCCAAAAAACAGGCACTTTTAAGACAGTTTTCTTGAAAATTAACCGATCATTAAGGGGTTAATGACCGTTATCTTACCTTAGGGTATACGCTTATCTTAACCTTATTTCATGCCGTTAACATTTAAACTGCGTCAAAAATTCTCAAAAAGTACTAAAAAACAATTTGGATAGCTGATTTATTTTAGATGTCCTTTTCACGTTAAATTTGGGAACAAATTCTCTTTTTATTCTACATTTGAAAAGATAAATATGATGTTAATTTTTCTATTCTCACTCTTGCTTCACTAAAATCATTCTTAATTAAATGATAATAAATAATTGAAAAAATAGTTTTGGAAAAGTATTTAATACAGATGTGGAACTTTTAAGTTCGTTTAGTTGTTAGATGATACTTTAATTACGAAATTAAAGTTCTTTTTATAATAATATTTACTTAAATCGCTATCATCAATTCTAATTAGAATATTTATATACTTAAGAAACTACTTTTATTTCCTGTTCCGCCAACATAACCTTTTTCGCGATTAACAATCTTGTCATAGGAGAACATGATCCAAACTCTCATTCACTAATGCAAGTAATGATGGTAATTAGGGAAGGACATTTAGGGAAGACGTGGGAATAATTTACATTGGAATAATTTGACCATTATTTCTTATCAGGAAAAAATGTCAATGGTTAAGTTCTCTTTTATAACGTTATCTTTAAATAGATTCACACACTATATGTTTGAAATAATTTAGTTAACAATGCAATTGCGGCTTTAAAATTTTTTAGATACAGAAATATTGTTTTTGTGTATTTAAAGAAACCGGACATTGGTATTGAATTTTAAGCAGGATACGTACTTCTGCAAATAAAAGTTTTGAAGTAATTAAAACAGTATTTTATCTCAAAATATTAAGCAAATAATATGTTTCCCTGTCTGATTTAACATGAACTTGCCTAGAAATTTTAAATATAATGCTATATATTTTACGAAATGCGATAAAATATTTGTTCAATTTGAGAAATACTTCATAAGGAATTTTACTTTTCTCATAAAAATCGTTACTACTTGATGGCTCATTAGGGACATAGAGTGCTAGCTTTTAAGAAAAGTAAGCAAATTTAAAATTGATGATTAATTGATGAATGGTTGACTGATTCGTGTATTGATGCTTTCACTTGCTATTAATAGCTTCGTGTGAAAGTCAACTCGTAAAAGACAAAGTTGAAACTTATAAATGTGACAGTGATTCTGAAAGTACACAGGACACAGGCAAAGCTACATTGAGTGTGGGTTTAGCACTGTAAAAAAATTTAAGTGAAGATCAACACCAAAAATAGTGGCAATACTTTACACCAAAGCGAAACGCCATAAATAACACTAGTGTTTTATTACAACAAAGTTCTTCAATGTGTGAAGCAACTGCCACAATTTTTGTTATACAGCAATACTAAAATGTATAATTACAGTCAGAAAAGATAAAAATAAGAGCCATCAAATATATATTTACAGTACAATATAAAGTAAGAA